CAGATTCGTGATTTTGGCCCCATCAGCATCCTTTCAGCTACTGTCAATTAAAAGAAGAAAAGCAGCATCTGAAAGAAGGTTTAGGCAGTCTTGCTGTGGGAACAAGACCATCAAAAACCCAATTAAGTTGGGTTTTGACCCCATTAAGCATGTTAAACCAAATTTAATGAGGTTCTGCTTCTCAGCAGAGTTGCATTAGGTGACCACAGGTTGAAGATGAAAGGAAGCCTTGGTAGACCTGTACTGAGGTGCTTTCACACCTTGGTTGCACCAAGCTACAATGCCTGGTGACCATGGCGTGACTGCTGAGCTCATCTGTCTGAGGAAAAACATGATCTTTTTTCATCATGTCTGCAAACACCGAGGACGGAATCTGTTCGTGCAGTGCTGGATGCCCCACATCTCCATCTAGCTGTGCACAGAGCCACCAACACGGAAGCAGCAGCTGCTGGTCCTTCATGGTGCTTCATGGTGCCGTTTATTAACCGTAGTCCTTGCTACACCTCACCGAGCTTCGCTAGGGCTCGGTTAGCTTGGCATGGCCCTCGGCCGTTGCCCCGATGTCCGATGGCCCAGGAGGAGATGACAGAGGACTTGCTGGAAGGGCCAGGAGAGCCCTCCCGGGCTCCAAACCGGGGCCACCACCGAGCCGCCTCGCTGGCACTGCCGAGGCAGCAGCAGAAGACGCGGTGACCAGCTTGATCCTCCCTTCCCCCACCTGCTGGCGCAGCATCCGTCAGTCCGTATGACCCTCCCCCTACCAAAATTGGCTGCTTTCTTCCTTCTTCTCCCCCCACCCTCCCTTTTTTTGGCTGAGTGATGAGCTGTATGCCAAATCCATCTGCTCCTGTCTCCCCTAGCTGCCTTCCATATCATTACAGGATCCCTGGCAGCGAGCCTAGACCTATCTCTCTCCCTGCACTCTTAGGAGCACATTCCTTTCTACACCTTTTCCCGAGCTGGGATAGAAATGAGTATCAACCCCAAACAAAAAGCATCTGCTTTCTGCCTGCTTCTGCTTCACCGGACGCGCATGTACGCTACACCCGTGTCAGCAGCGAATGCAAAACACACACAACCCCCCACCTCGCCGCCCCACATCCAACATGGGCTGACGAAACTTTGGGCGCCGGGAGCCTGCCTCACACCCTCTCCCTCTCCGTCTCCGCAGCACCAGCTGTGACCACCGCACCATTTGTTCCTCCAGCCCACGCCAGCACTCGGAGCCAGTTCTTTATCACCCCAATTAGCCTTGTCTGTGCTGATGAGAGGAGAGAGGCTTCCACTGCAAGGCAGAGACAGGGGGAAGAGAGCTGGCGCGCGGTGGGCACCGCGAGAGGCGATTCCCTTTCCGGCGGCTTTGTTCCCCAGGAGGGATAGATTTCAGTGGGTCAGGAGCACCACTAAAAAACCAGCGCTGTCATCCCACCTCCATTACCTGGGTGATGCTGATTTATAAACAGTTGCTTGAATAAGGTCAGGGGACACCGTTTCCTGGTTATTTTTCCTTTTTTCTTCATGCATTTGGTTTTCTGCTAGGGGGAAGAGGAGCGTCCTCAAGCCACACCAGCTCGCAGGTGTTGCGACAGGCTGTAGCTAGCGCTGGCCACATTTCTGGATGAGTTTGGAGATGCACCTTGGCTGTGTCCCCAGGGAGGATCGGGATCCCTGCATCTATAGCAAAGCTTCCAGTAGCCTCAAAGGGGGTTGAAGCAATTCCTCTTTCTCCCTCTGCCTCGTTATAGTGTCTCCCGAGCTGGTACGTCAGGATACCGAGTGGTCGATGCTGCACTGACACTCATGCAGCCGTCACCCTGAAAGCCTTTTTCCCCCGCCTCCTCCCTTGAACCTTGTAGCACTCCCTAGGAGTGGTGCTTATACACCATGCTTCCCTGAGTGCTGATTGTGACCTTGTGTGCCTCCTGGACTTCTCCTCTGGATTCATTGTTGAAGACCCTTTTCTGGTAGGCAACTCAGTGCTATCGTCCTGGAGCCGGGAAGGGGATCCATCCTTTGCCCCAGCACAAGTAGATCTACCCCATCAGGAGGAAGAGGATGAACGCAATTCAAACCCAGTCCCATGGTGGGCACTCAGTTTGGAAGGACAAAGTCGCCCCATATGGGGTGGGGCAGGTCCCATCATCATAGTCCCAATGGATAGAACCTGTTCCTCAGAGCACCCTCCATGGCGGGCGTTCCCTGTTAGAGGGGTTCCTGGCCTGACCATGGCCAAGAAAGACCCTTCTGGGGCATTTTCTTTGAAGCTGAGACACAAGAAACTTGACAAGAAACTCTGTGGCCTCCAGATCAGTTGCACAATGCCATGTCCAGTGAATGGCTGGCCAAGCAGACCCAGGATGCTGAACAGCTAGGGTAGCAGTCTACACCAAAATAGGTGAACTTACACTTTCCATCAAAAAACCCTGAGACGTTCAAAGAATGAACTGACACACAATCAGGTTGTATCTTAATGTTGTCTTAATATCTGTAGCCCACCACCCAAATGCTTCTCCCTGTTCTGCATTTGATTTCCCAGTGAGAGGAGTAAGCTATCCCTGATGCATTTCTGAACGGCTTTGCCAGTGCCGCTGTGGAGTACGTCCCTCCTGTACCTGCCTCCTTGGTGTGGATGCAGCCCTTGGAGCTCCTGTAGCTGAGGCTTGAGAGCAGTTTCTGGTAGCTATCCGCTTTATTATCTCTGCTTCCCCAGAAGGGAATCTGCAGAGATTGCGCCAGTTCAACCAGTCACTCCCCAGCAAATTGATTTCACATCTTCCCAAACTTCAGAAAGGGGCTTAAGTGAGCTCAGTAATACCCAGCTCTCTTCTGTCTCCTTCCACCAAGACAAGTTTAATTCCACTTAAACTGTTCTTGATGAGTTTCATCTAATGTGTGCCGAAAACTTCCCACCACAGAGACACCACACCTTCCCCAAGCATTGGATTGCAACACTCTGCTGCTTCCCACTAGGATACTCTTCCTGCTGTTCAGCTTGGATCTTACTCGCTGCTTTTTGACTTGTGTCCCAAGAGAGCGTGAACAAATTCATTACTCCTTTCTTCTGTGCCATAGCCCCTTGCGCACGCAAATACCACCGTGCCGCCTTTGAACTTCTCTCTTCTAGACTCAGTGCATCCAAGTCCTCAACGTTTCCCCATAGCTCTCGCTTTCAGACCGCTAATCTGGGGTCCACCAAGGTAGACGTGGCTTTTCTTGGAGCTCCCACCTCTCCAGCCCCCATTGGAGAGGAAGGGACTGTTGGTTGACTCTCTGTCAGCTATCTGCGGAGATGTCCCAGTAGTAGGTTGGGTTTTGCTCTCTCCGAGCTGCCCCACATCCCCAAGCCCTACTGACAGCAGCGTAGACGGTCAGGGTTGGACCACCCAATTCCAGGTCATTTCAAAGCACTTCCCACCTTGATATTTCCATACCGGTGGGTGAAACCAGCCTCGGAGCTTTTCTTTCTGTCTCTGGAAGAAAAATAAGAAAACAATAGGAAGAAAAGCTGCGTCAGAGCCAGGCAGATCGGAGTTAATCCTCCCTCAAAATGGATCCCGTCAGTGCCGGTGTACGTGAGAATCGCCTCCCCTGCACCTTTGCTGGGTACTCTCCCCGGCACAATGCTTCACTTTGTGTTTCAGCACAGAAAGAAATGGTGAAGTTGCTAATAATGGCACTAAAAGAAAATATGCTACATCTGTTATGGATAGCAGTACAAAATTAGCTGATCACACCTCTGACACCCAAGATGTCTTCACTTAAAATACTCGTTGGCTTACTTTACATAATTTGCTGATTATATTTAAAAGAAATACAATTTTGCAATTACTGTTCTTTCTGGTGTGCTATCTATGCATCATTTTCTTTTTATGTTTATATATTTCTCCTTCATTAGTGCAGTCTGAAGGGTGATTAGATCCCTTCAAACATTTTACAGAGGTTAAACGTTGATTAAGATTTAATTATTACTGTAAATAGCTTGGAATGACATATGGTGCAAAAACCTGACATATGTGCATTTGAATAAATGAAGTGCTATTTCCCATGATGCTTCAGTAGCTGTTTAACAGCTTTGCTGAAGGGTTATGTTGCACCTCATGTTAAGATTGCTTTGATGTTATATTTTGTTGGGTTTTTGCAGCTGAAAGCTAAGAACAGTTTTTCCAGTTTTTAAAAACATTGAATATTTTAAATACCTAAATTGTTTTGCACAAATTTTTGCTAATTTGTCTAACTAGGTTAAACATTTTCAAAAGCATTTCGATTTTAACGTGGGTTCCTAGCATTGTGTCAGCAACAGCATCAATTCAATGTATAGGATTTCTAAAAGTCTGGTCTTGCAAAGTGTCCTGTCCCGGTTGGGAGCGGGATCTTTGCTTGCTGCGGGAACCGGGAGCACCACGGATCCCTCCCAGGGACGCAGAGGTTCGGAGTGATTTCAGAGCAAGGGAGAACTTTGTGCAAAGCCGGTGAAAGGAAAAAATTAGGAAAGGGCTGGAGATTTTATGGAGACAGAGAAAGGGGTAGGTAGATTTTTAGCTGTGATCCATCCTCGTCGGAGGACGTAGAGCCCTGGTCCAGGAGACGAATGCGTTTTGTCCCCTTGTGTCACCAGGCAGCCCGTGGCTTTGCCGCGTCCCAGCTTCAGGGACTGGATTCCTTCTAGCACCATGCGAGGGGACCTTGGCTGTGTGAAAAGGAGGGGATGTCTCCTGGAAAATGATGGGTGGGATCCGTTTGATTCTCAGAGACACTCTATAATTCATTGAACATTGCAAGGCAGCGAGCATGCATCATTTCATGTAATATAAGTCAATCCAGACAGGGTTGTTTTGAGACTTGAGCCGAATAAAGCACATCAAAATGACACGGAAAAGACATGATTGACGTTGTATTATTTACATTTTATACTTCTCCACATTAGTTTATTGATCTATCAAGCTCCTGCTGCAGCACAACGCGATACCGATCCTGATCTTGCCTCCTCTTTGATTTCGCAGATCGAGACATCTCGGCTGGAGCCAGAAATCGCGATGGCCACCACCAGTAAGACTGTAGTCTACAACAAAGGATTGTAAGTGGAAGCGGACAATCTCAGCCCAGAAGATTTGGGGAGGGAAAGGGGGAAACTTGAGATCCTGACTGGGAAAAAGAAAACAACAACAAGAGAAAACAAATAATAGACCTCAGCGATAGTAACGTATTACCGCTCCCGGCAACCTGGGAGTAAATTAACACTTTCAGAGAACTGACACCTCACACCAGTCAAAAAGATTGATATTAAAAGTTTTAAATTAGCAACAGGAGCAACTACAAAAAAATTACATTCAAACACTTTAGAGAACTAGCTAAAGAATAATTTCAGATCTTAATAGCACTGCATGGAGGGATGTTTAATGGCGTGTTTACATGGCTATACCTAACTACATGAAAGTAGGCTTCACTCAGCAAATTTTGTTTTCAATGCTAATTAAACCTCCACACTGATGCTGCACAAAAATAATTCCGTAGAGATCGAAGGGTGCATGAATGTGAAGCGCTTGATAGGGTGTTTGATAAGTGTCCTGGATTGATTTCATGACGATCCTGTCCCAGTGATCACGCGCAAAGCAGCCTTCCGTGGTTGACGTGCAACGCTCCGTTAGCACAGCGAAGGTCGTAGGTTGTGCGCCCTCCATCCCGCCCTCCTCCTCCTGCAGACGGTGGCATCCTGCCGTTCATTGCACTTGCAAGACTTTGTGTCACAGGAGCCTACCACCAGGCGTGTCTGCAAGGGCTTTTGCCTGGGGTTCAAGATACTGGAAAGCCAAGGTGCCCACACATTGACTAGGAAGGGATCTTACAGCAGAAACATGATCGATCTGCTCTTTTCCTTCACACAGACATGAAGGATGGGGTTTGTCCCACCTAACATAAACCTTCTAAAAGTTAATCTAAAGTAATTGTTAATCTAAAGTAATTGGCTAAGCTACGCTTTGCTAAGCTAGTTGTCTGAGGACATACTACGCTTTAACATTTCGTCAGCCCTGAATTGGTCAGGCCGTTGGACTAGATGATTGTTGTAGGTACCTTCCAACTGGAGCTCTTCTCTCTTTTCTCTCTTCTCCTCTCCTCTCCTCTCCTCTCCTCTCCTCTCCTCTCCTCTCCTCTTCTTCTTTGTCTTCTTTGTTGTCTTCTCTTCTTTATTTTTGCCAACACTTTCAGACAGCAAGGCCAACGCTGGCCCAAGCCTTGTGCCAGTGTAGAGAAGGACCCAAAGCAGAGACCGGTGGGCAGGATGGCTTTGCCTGGCAGCTGTACCAAGCTGATGCCTTCATGAGACTGTAACTTCGGAGGGGTGAACTGCCCCCTGGAGACAGTTTTCTGTCTGTCTCTCAAACTACTCCACTTCAGGGTGCTTAAAGGGAGGTGGTGCAAGTTGTCCCCCCCAGCACCGCACCGAATCCTGCCCTCACATGGGTGTGGGGCCATAATTTGGCTTTCTGGTACCTTGTACCCAAGGGTAAACCCTGAGTGACTCCTTGAGGACCAGAGGAGTTAATGCAGATTTTGAGCATGGTCACCGGCAGAAGACCTCTGGAATCATTGCAGGGATGGAGCCATGGTGGTGATGGACACAGCCAACCACACAGGCTCTCGTCCTTCAAATGCCAATGTATTGGGGATTTTGGGGAGGGTGGGGGGAACAGGGGAAACCAAATCACCACTGACGCGGAATGTATTCGAAGGATTTATTGCCATGCTTGAAACTGAGAGGCCTGAGCCCCACCGTGTGCTCCTCCACCGTTGGCTGCTCTTGCTCCCCGCTGGAGTCAGACCACTAGGAACTGGAGTCACACAACTGTCAGGCTGGCTTAGGAAGTCTGATTCTGTCCCTGCGCTAGTGGAAATCAGAAATAATTGCACGAAACAAATCAGTTTTGTGGATTTATACACCAGCGTGCAAGGGAGGAGAGCCCAACTCTGGGCTCTCCATAGCTGCTGTTGATGGGCCAGCTGCTGGTCCCTGACACTGGTGGAAATACAGAGTGGGTCCAGTTACACTCATGGAGCTATACTGGATTTACACCCGGGTAAGGGACAGCTGAATTTGACCCAGTAAAGTTCCTCTAATGCACTAGATGAGATGAATGTACCTTCTGGAGGAAGCCAGGCCACCCCGTCTGCACCGGGTGGGATTTGGAGAGGCTACAGGGAGGTGGCATCTGTCCTATGGACGTTTTCATGGGCATCTGTCCTACGGGCAGCGCAGCACAGAATCGGGCCCCATCCTTTGCCCTGGGGACGAGTAACTCCCCGCGGCAGCGGAAGAGGGAGGCACGCCTCCAATCCCGGGAAGGGGAGCGGGGATGCTGGCAATCCCCGAGCAGCAGCCTGCCGATGGGAACCGCAGCGGCAAGGCTTCGGAGAGCAGCTGGGATGAGCTGTGCACCTGAAAAAGGGCCCTTTCCATTGCTGCAGGGCATGGGAGGAGGTGAGGACCGTTGTCCGGTGCTGGAGATTACAGGTTCCCCCTTGCAGTGGGCAAAAAAGCTACTCTGAGCCTAAAACTTCAGTTCACGGCTCCGCTGAGCCCGCAGAAGTTAGGAGCCAAGCCACGTCGTGTTGCACGGAGGCACAACTTGCCTTCTTCCTCCTCCTGAATGGAAATGCGAGGCTGAGACAGAAACAGCCTCTTGTGTTGACAGGGAGAAGCCTCCTGGCTCTGGCGTCTGTCTGGGTGGATCATTTCCCCTTCCCCGGTGGGTTTTGTCACGGCCTGAACCATTCTGCTGCAAAGCTGGTTCATCCCAGGCTTTTTTTTGGGGGGGGAGGCGAAGAGGAAGAAGTGATGGAGGCTGCTCTTTGCCTCGAGCTTTCGGAGAGGTGGAGCAAGGAGGGAGACGGTGATTTGGTTTTGCATCGTGATCACCGATCAAAGATTTCAGTGGCTGTGAGCTGCGGCTACCTGCCGGGCCCCCAGATGGAGCAAGGAATTTGCAGCGGAGGAAAGGAGTCAGGGCTTTGCTTGCCGTATTTCTTTCGGAGCGGGACCCAAGGAAAAGTACGGATTGAGCAAATTCTGCCTCAGGAATGAACTGATTCCCAGTTTTCTCTGTGATGGGAAGTGAGTACAGATGCTTTCCCTGCACACACACCACCTGCAGACGTTCGGCTGCACAGGTTATTAATTAGCAGGGCATGCTCGTTAATCCATTGATGCTCAATAAAACCTGCCTTGGTTGGGAGGAGAAGAGACTTAGGGCTTAGTAAGCCACGTGGCTCCTGTGACTCACGAGGGCCTGATCCTGCTCGAGCGGGTGAGGACCAGCTTGAGGGATGTCAGAGGAGCCGCGCTGCGAGATTATGGCTCGGCTCAAAAGCAGCTGCACAGTCGAACAAGTGACAATCAAACGGTCTAAATGAGTCTGGATTTATCATCTTCCCGCACAAACCCCGTCAGACTTGTTTCGCTTCATGTGTCATGAAAATGGGTCTCAGTCAACTCGGCAGAGCTTGTGCTGAGAAATAAATACACCCCGGGGTCCTGAGTCAGGCGTTCACTGGTGTTTATCCCGAGGAGCCGATGGCAGCCTCTGGCAGGTTGGCGGCAACATTTGCTCTCCAATTTTGTTCAAATCAATGCAAAATGTTGTGCCCCCGGCCCAAAGCCATGGGGAGATGCTCCTGCTTGGAGCTGGGAAGGGAGAGCCACCACCTCATGGGGCTCAGTTCCTTTTTCTAACCTCTTCTGAAAGCATCTGCAGGTCTTGTGTGGTGAGGTAGCGCCTGCAGCAGCAGTGCCCGAGAGGTCGGAGACCCGAGGACTTGAGCCCACATCTCCCAAACCCACGTGTGTCCCCTTCCTCCAGGCAGTCAGGATGGTGCAGACCTGTCTCTGCTGCTCTTCCCCTTGCTGTCCCCAGCTTGGTGGCGAGCAGGATGAGGTGCCTCTATGAGGAGAATGTTTTGGTGGACCTATGGACCCAAACTCTTGAGGAACACAAGATTGCATTGTCCCCACGCTGGGACACTCAAGCCACGTGATGAGGTTCAGCTTTTGAGCAACCACCATCCCAACGCAGGGCTGTTGAGATGCATTTTTATTTAAAAGCAGCAGAATGGCTCAGCAGACACAAACCTGACCCTTACGGATCTCAAAAGACCGTTTCACTCGCAGGCAGCTCAAGGTTGGGCTCCTTCATGCAGCGGTTCCAGCATCGGCTCAGCGTGGTTGCCACCATCCGTGGTGGGACTGCCAGCGAGCACCAAAACACCGCGCTCAGCTCTTCCTACAGCATTAGAAATGAAAAGCATGGAGCTGGGAAGGCGGTAGCACATTAGTACTGTTTATTAGGACAGCAAATTGTGCCAGAAAAGACTACACACAACAGCTAATGATAACATTATGCACATTCACTTAATAGCTAATTAATCTGTTCGACTTTTCCTAATGTACAAAAAAAGGAGCCTTCGGTTTGCGAGAACAACCCAACCATTTGCATTTCTTATTTCCTGTAATTGGGGAAGTAGAAGAAATAGGGAGCGAAAAACCCACCACACACATCAAGTTGTTCACCTCAACAGATAATAATAATAATGAGATGATCATCTCCTGTAGTATTTAATTAGAAATGTCGCAGTTAATTGATTTCTTGGATATGTTAATTAAGAAATAATGAGGACCAGGTTGCAGCAAAAGGTGCCAGCGAGAAATTTGGAGTCCCTCCTGGAAGATGTGGCTGTTGGCCGCTCCCTAAGCCGGCCGGGGGACAACCAGGGGACAACCCCAGGGTTGTGTCACCCAAGCCCTGAACCCACCTTTAAGCTTGGGCGCAGCTCAGCTCCTTCCGGTTGTGCTTGTTGCTCATTTTTCTGCTCTGCATCCCTGCGTGTGGCCAGGCGTGAGCAGATGCCCAGGTCCAGGCAGGACAGGCAGCAGGTCGCCCCGTTTGCTTCCCATCCAGCACCGAGCATCGCTGGGACGTGGGACGACCTGGCAGATGCCGGACCCCACCACCCTGGGACAAGCGTTGCTGGTAGATCTCAGGGTTATACCGATGCCACGTAGCCAAGAGATGCAGGTGTGTGTCCCCCCCGCTTTGGTGGGTTCCTCTTGAAGGGCTGTGATGGA